AGTCCCTACTCACTGAGGTTCATATATTCACAGCCTGTACGGAAATCAGTGTGACAGTTTCTCAGAATTCAGGAATCTTTTTTACCTAGATCCAACTAAACCACCATTGGTCAAAAAGTTTCTGTATCTTACCACAGAGGTATTTACTCAGTTATGTTCATTTCTGCTTACTTCATACTAACTAGAAGCTCGAAACAGCCTAGATGTCCATCAACAGATGAATGGATATAGAAATATTAGCACACTACATAAGGAATATTGTTAAGCTATTAGATAAATGTAATCATAGTATTTACAGCTAAAGGGCTGAGAAAAAATTGCTCTGAATACAATAACTCAGATGCCCAAAGACACAAATAGTATTATCTTATATGGATTTCAAGTTTAAAGTCTTTGAGAGACATGCTATTATCTGTATAACCACAGATGTTAATTATAGACATGAGAATTAGAGGGTGTGGAATTGGAGAGTTTCAGGGAGGATACTAGGGAGGGGAAACTGAACAGAAAATTGTATTTGAAAATATTTATTTTCAATTTAAAAAGAAACTATTAATTGTCCATTTCCCCTGTGTTATATAGCTTGTCAAATCCTGAAACTTGTGAACTAAAGGTTGAATTCTTACTCTGATGAAAACTATCTCAAAAAGGAATACATAATGCTTATAAACCTGTATAGAATTTTAGTTATACCTTATTGAGACATATAAATGTCAATATTAGGCTTGTTATATAAAATTAAGTGAATGTGTCAAACTAAGGAAGAGCAATATGTGCCAAGGTTGTCAAAAATACAGCTTTAGTACCAATAACAATTTATGTTATGTGCATTTGAGTATTTAGAAAAAAAGGGTGTATATTATGTAGACTATACAGTTTTTTTAATAAAGGAATGACTATCAAGTGTATTCAAGATAATTGAGATGCATAGACTTTGGGTTTGTATAGATGTGTGTTTGAATGACTACATTAATCTCAGGGCTAATTTGTATTTATAAGTTCTACACAGTGAAGCACTTTTTATTTAAATAGTAAAAATGTAAATATGCTAGGAGAAACCTTCATGCTCTTTAAAGGAAGACAACTAATTATTATGTACTGGGAATTGGTCAGAAGCATCTATGCCAAAAATTAGAAGCATAAATCTCAGACAAACTTGACTGAATAAAGTATCAGAATTTTTTTAACTAGTCATTTTGTGTTAATTAAGCTGATTCTGCTAATATTAGTTACACATTTTTAAAAGTATGTTTTAAAAAACTACATATTTTATGTTATATTAGGTTGCAAAATTTCTAGACAAAAACATTGATTTCTGATAGCAAAATAACAGGTACTCATATTTTATAATTAACTATAGGCCAACTTAAATGAGTTTGTAAAATTAGTAATAGACATAAAATTACATTTATCATTGTGAAATTGTTAAAGAAACCACCAGGTGGCACTCCAGGAATTGAGTGCGTGGTAGTCCATAGAGAGTTGATTAAATTTGTCAAATTAAGGAAAGTAATGTACTCTTTGTTCCAGAGTACTTTTAGCTAATTTTCTCATTTGTAATAATTAGAGATTTTTAAATAATAAGCTATTATTATCATAGATAAAACAGAAATTATTTGACTAGCATGAGAGTTCTTTGTTTTGATTTCTCTTTCTGTTTTTTTTTTTTTTTGAGGAAGTCTCAAACTCACACAATTATACCTGCCTCTACCTCTAGTGTACTAGGATTCAGGGTGTGTACCACCATGCCTAGTTTGACTAGTGTAAAATTTCTGATAAGCTGAATTTTAAAAGTAAAATGTTTCATTTTAGTCTGTGGGAGGATGCACATATGTACTCGTGCACACACGTGTGTGGCTTCTAAGTGGCAATGAACATGACATAGTATGAGCTCAGAAATCAGAGAACAGAGTGCAGGAGTAGGTTCTTCCCTTCCACCATGTGGGTCCCAGGGATCTCACTTAGGTTATCAGTGTTAGGGGAAATCATCTTCAGCTGATGAATTTTATATTAAAAAATATTTTGCTTAAGTAACTTTACAGTTGGGTAAGGATCATGTTGCCTTTATATATTGTTGACATATGTGATTATAATTGAAACTGAAACTTACAAGAAAAACCAGTCTTCTTGTCTGCTTGGTACTGAGCACTTTTCTAATGATTATTCTCATCCCTTTTCTAATGTTTATTTTCATCTTTTTTGTTTGTTTGTTTCACCCCAGTATCTGACACTAAAAAAAGTGAAAAGATCTCCAAGGCAGGTAAGGCTACTGTCACTTGTATAGCAATAGATGGTCTTTGGGTTTGATAAAGAATGATTTACAATTAAAGCAAAGTAAAGCTGAGCCTTCCAAAATATTGAGTAAACAGAACAAACAACCAAAGCAGCAATCCACCCTCCATATGTATTTAAAGTTTACAAGTAATATGTTTAGATGTATGCTACAGCCAAAAAATGCTGTTAAATAAAGCTATGCTTTTTGGAGACAGTTTTTGAGTAAGCCCATTTAAGCATTAGAATCACTACCAAACACTGCTTTTTCTTTACATACATTGCAAATAAACACTGTTTTCAAAACACCAAGCAATCAACTGGGATCTCAAATCTTCTAACCAGAGCATGATAAATGCTAGAAATATATCTACATGATTGGCTGAGTATGACACACTTAGTTTCACCTAGGTTCAACCAAACTTTATTTTAAATTGGTAGTGTCATATAGCCCAGAGTATAGATCCAATCATTTTGTTTCACTCGCTGGATATGTACCTTGGAGAGGTAAATCTTTATCTTTGGGTTTTATTTAAAATTTCTATTATTTGTTTTTATTTTTATATTTATTTATTCATTGTATATATTCAAGGAGACATTGGCACATGTCTGGGGTTCAGAGGACAACTGGAAGAAGGCAGTTTTCTTCTTCCAATAGGATGATTCTAGGGATGGAGACACAGATTGAAAGACTCAGTGACAGACAAAGGTCTTTTCGACCTGTCTCCCTTGTCTGCTGTTATTCTTTGAAGTAGACTTTCTACAAACAGGGTTCTATGAGGATGGAACGCTTAGAGAAAATGGTAGATGTTGAAGAAGAAACAATACAAACAGGTGAAAGACAAAACATAGCGTAAATCCAGAGCAAATTTCTAATTAATGGCAATATTTCTAGTGCCAATGATATTTGAGATATTTATATTATCAACATACAGAAAATACTGTGCACAGACCTAACCAGTCGATGGTTATGCCTATATCCCTGTCTCTTTGTAGAGGAAATTGGCTCAACAGAGACAACATTATACTCTTGGTCTAAGAGCGTTTGCATATTCTCATTTGCACCATTTTTAGTATAATCTAAGTAATAGAAGTAATACTCTCTGTCTATCTTACATTTAATATGACTGCAGTGATTGTTTTATATTTTCACAAAAGTAATGCCATAATCTTAAAGAAGTTTAGTGATTCTTCTCATTTTTTTAGTGAGTGCATATAATCGTTCTAAGTGACTTATGATCTTAAAGCACTTGATCTCAGGAAGAACTTATGAAAGAACAAAGGGTGATATGGACTGAGGAGATAGTGTTTGTGCTCGGTATAAAGTTTTACAATTTCAAATTATATGAAAATTAAGTAATATGGTGGCGATGTTCGATTCCTATTCCATTCTTATACCAAAATCAGATATAAATGTAAAAAAGGAAGAATTGCTTATAAACTGCAATGTGTTGTCAGATCTTACTGATTGGTTTCAGTGAAAGTTTTAATGCATAAAAGCTACATTACAGCATCACTTGATGTAAGCATGGTGTTGCATTTTACCCTATATTTAGATGCTGCCATCTAAAACAAAACCAATAACCATGCTATCAACTACTACTATACATCATATTCAATATTTACTTCTGCTGTATAGTTCTTTTTAAGTTTATTGAATAAAGAGACCATGTAAAAGGTAAAATCGTTTTTATTTTACTGTATGACATTGAGATAATTTTGAACTAGCAATATATAAACTATAGAAGGAATTATAAATGTCATTTATACTATTTTTATTCTAACATGTATGTCAGGAATCTTGACTGCTATTCAGCTGCTATCAACCTCGTCTTTCTTTCCCTGCTCGATCCCACTGTACTTTTCCCACCATATGAGAGGAAACATATAATATTTCTTTTACTAGATCTGGCTTAAATTAAAAAGAATGTTTAACTGTTTAACATCTCATTAATTATAAGTAAAAAATTTTTAATTTTAACTCATGCACACAGTTCTGTTTGAAATGTTTAACACTGTGAAATGCTTAACAAGGATATTTTACATTTAAAACAATTTTGCTAATAAGAGGAAAAATAAAAAAGAAGTAAGTATGAGTAACATTTAATAACATGTAATCAACCAACAAATGAATGAGAACATACAAAATGCTTCGTGTCACTGCCACGTGTCTGCAATTGTGTGGATGTTTATAAAATTTACAGACATGTGGGAAGATGGAATTTTCTTTCCAAAAGTTAAGATCATGAATGTTTCAACCTGTTTCCAATATTGCTGAAGACTGTTCTAGAGTGCTAGATGGGGGAAGCATTCTTGCAGTATTGTAACCATCAGTAAAATTCTCATGGTGATGGTGTTTTTAAACTCTAATTTAGGAATACATAAGAACCCATGAGATTGGAATTTTATTAAAACAATAGTAGAGAAATTGTTGACTTTATGCTAAAAAGACATTAGCTTGTCTCTCTTTTCCACTTGTTTTCTTTTCTTTTTCATGAAAGTTGTCATACTCACCTGTCAAGGTTGTTTTGTACATGATAATTGCTATTTGCCAATTGGAGTAGCTTCGGCATGCAGTAGCTGTATTTAGAAGGGATGTTAGAACCAAGGTTAAGTTTCATATTAATGGGAGACATGAGGAAAGAATAAAACTTTCCAAATGACTCCCAAAGACAATGAGGTGGGTAGAAGATAGAAATAATGCAGCAACGAGATGAAGATATATAAAAATGGTTCTTGAAATCCAGGCCTACCTGGGCCTGAGGAGCAGAAACAAAATCGGCATCTTTGAGGACAAGAGTAAGGAGCAAGTGTATTGAGCGTTATAACGGCTCATGGAACTATTTATAATTTGAACCCAAATTCTTTATAATAATCTAAGTTCAACAAAATAAAAATAACCACAATTGATGTTTGATATAGACAAAACATAATGATCTTAAAATATTTCTGATTAATTATTTACTCTTTAGCTAAGGCTTCTCTTGCTGTAAAGAGGTACTATGACTATAGCAACTCTTATAAAAGAAAACATTTAATTGGGGCTGGCTTTCAGTTATGAGGTTTAGTTCATTGTCATCATGGCAGGAAGTATGGTTGTATGCAGCCAGACATGGCATTGAAGTGTAGCTAAGAGTTCTAAATCTGAACCATTAGGCAACAGGAAGAGGAAGAGAAAGTGACACTGGCCAGGCTTGAGCATCTGAAACCACAAAGTCTAACCCCAGTGACACACTTCCTTCAACAAGGTCACACCTACTTCAATAAGGCCACACCTCTCTCTAATAGTGCTAGTCTCTGGTAATGAGGCATTCATATCTATAAGCTAATGGGGATCATTTTATTACTATTCATACAACTACAACTTTCAAAACGATTTACAACCATGGCACATATTCAATCTGGAAAGATTTTTTTAAAAATCATTATTTCCCGGAACCTATTGAAAAACACTAAAAATATTTTGTCATGTATTCCTCAAGGAATGTGAATGGGATGTGTAGAGAGCAAAAATATTCTCCTTGCGTGTTGATGCTTCTGTCATTTTCAAGATATTTTCTATCAGAGAATAGATGCATATGACTTTAGTAATTTTATTACTTCAAGGTCTCAAGCATGAGACGTCCAAGCAAGTGTTACTTATACAAGTTACAAACATGAAATAGATGAAGGTGTGACATCTGCATGGAGGGAGTCTATAGGCCCTGAAAAATTAGTCATAATAGCTTTGAATCCTCATGCTATAACCACACATTATATAACCACACATTAAGAGGTTTGGAATAGAAGACAGGGGAACACACACGCATACACACACACACACACACACACACACACACACACACACACACACACA